TAAAAAAAAGAAAAGAACTAGTAATAAAAAAAAGTGAACTATTTGTGGTCCTATTTCTCTGTCTCTCATGATGTTACTTCTGCCTGGAATATCTTTCCCTGCCATACCTATCAAAAATACTACCCATCCTTCAAATTCAGATGTCCTCTTTCGTGAAATTGTCTCAGATTCCTTCTGTTGCCTAGCGTGGCAGGTAGATGGTACAGTGGATAGAGTATTAGGCTTGGAGTCAGGAAGATCTGAGTTCAGATATGGCCACAGACACTTACCAGCTGTGTGTCTCTGGGCAAGTCACTTAACCTCTGTTTGCTTCAGTTTCCTCATCTGGAAAATGGTGGTGATAATCACCATCATCCTTATCACAAAGTTGTGAGGATAAAATGAGATAATATTTGTAAAGGATACAGCCCAACATACAGTAGGTGCTTAATAAGTGCTCGTTTCCTTCCTCTCTTCCCCTTGTCACTGGATGCTTTTTCCCTTCCCTACCACTAGAATTTGATAACAATTTATTTCTAACTATCTGCTCAGCACATTCTTCTCTACAGTGAGAGCTCTAGTCTTAATATCAGAAAACAATCTAGATTTGAGCCCTAACTCAGCCTCTTCTTAGGAAGTTGTGTGATCACTTAATGCAAATCATGAAATGTCTCTGACCATGAGTTTCCTTATCTGATAAGTGGGAACACTAATACTTGTGCTACCTGGTTTGGCTTTTCTTTATTTCCCCACACCTAACACAGTTCCTAGCATATAGTAGCTGCTCAATAAATGTGTGTTGTCTTTATTACCTCTTTTAGAGACTTGTGAGGAAAGGAATTTTAAATCTCATACTACTAATTAAATGTGAGCTGCAAATGTTGAAGTGGGAAAACGTGACAGGAGATGTGAGTTGAAATTCCAGCTCTGCTACTTAATAGCTGTATGATCGTAAGCAAATTATTTCACTTCCTGAAACTCAATTTCCAGATCTGTAAAATGGAATTATAATGTGCCATGAGTAATTGTGAAGAAAGTGATTGTTCCATTACTATGTATTACTATAGGTTTTTTGTGTACTTTTCTTATCCCTTTGTTCTTGAGTCATTTTAGTCACGTCTAACTCTTTGTGACCCCAGTTGGGGTTTTCTTGGCAAAGATATTAGTGTGGTTTAACATTTCCTTCTCCAGTTCATTTTACAGATAAGGAAACAGGCAAACAGGATTAAGTGACTTGCCCAGGGTTATACAACTAGTAAGTGTCTGAGGCCAGATTTGAATTCGGGAAGATGAGTTTTCCTGACTCCAGGCCCTGAAATCTATCCACTGCACCACCTACCTGAACCTAGTGGAGTGGAAAGAGCATTGGATTTGTAGTTAGAAGATGTGAGCTAGAATCCCAGTTCTGCCATTTATGTCCTGTGTGACCTTGAACAAATTACTTGACCTTTCTGGGTCATAGTTTCCTTCTCATTGAAATGAATGAGTTGGTTGAGATAACCTTCAAGTTCCCTTCCAGTTCTAAATCAAGGAACCCTCCGATTAGATTAGAGGGGTGAAGGAGGGTGACAGATGTCTGGTCCATCTTGAGTTCTCTTCCAGGCCTAGCATTGTTAGTGCCTTGAGTGGGATAGATGCTCTGTAGTTATTCTAATTAGATTGAATTGAACCAAAATGGGAAACATTCTGGGGCAGTAGAGTACTAGTTAGAGGTTTTGAGTTTGAATCCTGGTTTTGCTCCCTATGTGGTCTTTAGCCTAAGTTATTTCTCCTTTCTTGGCTTCATTTATAAAAGGTGGAAGGGAGTAGGGGATTGGACTAGATGAACTCAGTTGAACCAGATGACCTCCAGGGCCCCTTTGAGCTCTAAATCTGATCCCATGCAAATCTCATTCCATTCCCCCTAGATTAGTTAGTCTCCCTTTTAAGTGATTTGGATTAACACCTGCTGGTATTTCCTCAATAGTCATCCAAGGGAGCTCAAGTTTAAAGACATTACCTGATTAAGGTAATCCTCATGCTGTCCCTACTTGGTGGATGAGGCTGCCATGCTATCCCCACTTTAGATATCAAGAGATTGGAGCACAGATCCCCCAGTGTGTGAAATTACACTGAAGTGAGGTGATTCTGTAGATGCTAATTCTCTAACCTGTCAGGTAAGATACAGCTGGGTGGGTAGAAGCATGAACTTCTAAATACGAATTGCTCCTTGTGAATTTGGATTTTCTCTTCAAGGCTGTGTATACAAATAAACGCATTGGTCAAAATGAGGTTAATGCATCACCCACAGTCTTACTTTAAGTGAAAACAGAAAGATATTGGGAATTTTTAAAGAGACACTCTTTAGCTCAAGAAAAAGAGACCATAGCCAAAATGGTGTGGCTTACGATAGAGTTGCTAACAGGAGCTTCTTTAATCTATGAACCAAGTTGTATTCTCCTCACAGTAGGAACCTCTGCTGTCTGGTTTTTTTTTTTGTGTGTGTGTGTTTTTTCCCTTCTCCCCATATGATTAAACTTAATCATGCACAATTTCTTTAACACATGCCTGGCAAGTTCATACAAAGCATTTGACTCCCAGAATCCATTTCATTGAACGGAGAGTGCTCTTCCATTGGCCTTCCCCTCCATGTGCATATTGCATTTACATCAGTGAATACAGAGCTTCTGTTTAGGTAAAGGGAGCTAGGGGGCTAAGTTTTTGCTTTGCTTTCTTAGATTCTCAGACTCAGTCTCCAGAGGTCTGGTGAAGCCTGCTTCCTGGACTCCTGTCATAGACCTAGTCTCATCTCATCTAAGTTGGCCTGCTTTTTATGGGGAATGCAGGCCCTCCAACCAATATCCAAGTGTTTTTGGCCTCATTCAGCACTCAAGTGATGCTACCAGCGGGACTAATTTCTCATTGTACTTGTTCTTTGTGCTTCTTAATTTGTCATCCTCTGAGAATATGTGGGAACTTTTAATTAAAATGTTTTCTGAGCCAAGTAAAAGCCTATCTGGTTTATTTTTGCTCAGTATTTGATCTATAAAAGCAAATTTGACCTCTGATTTGGGCTTTTGAAAGCTCAGGAAGCTACTGTAATTTTTTCAGAAATACCCTGAACAATTACAGGGTTTCAACTGGACATTTTTTTTTCATATTAGTTGATCGACCTCTACTTGAAATATGACACCTTGAATGGAGATAATAAATTCTAACAAAAAGAGATGAAGAGCCTTCATTTGGGAGGGGGAAGAGGTGGTGAATAGGAAGGCTTTGACAGAGATTGATATTTGTATAAATGTGGGATTGTAAATAATGTGACAGAATGAAGAATTGTGTAGAGGAGACTATTGAATAATGCTTAATTTTTTGCATGCCACTGGATAGCTAAGTCTGTATGATGCATATTAAAATGAATGGCAGCCATAAATATGAACTTTAAATAGCAATGAGATCATTCCTATCCAAGTTTTTAGTAGGAAACTATTCGAATCTTCACATAACTGAAAATAGAACTGCATGAACAGAGGAAAAAAATAGATTTCAGATTCATACAGGTTAGAAGATCTCACTTTTAAGGTCAGAGTAAAACGGGAAGATACAGTTAATTATCTGATTAATAGAAGTTTGCAGACTGCCAATTCAGATCATTTGGAATAATTCTAACCTATCTTTTGTCCCAAGATTCACAAAGGAGACATAGGGTGGGGTTCAGCAACCTTGATGGTCCTCTAACATGTGGGAACTCTAGAAACAGGATAGGGAATACACATGGGACAAACTGGCCCATACAGAGTAGAAGAGAAAAGGTAAGCAGGTGGACTAGGAGAGAAAGACTAAGAAAGAAAGAAGAGAAAAAGAGAATGGATGTTGAGTGGAGAACAGGACTTTGCCACCTACTAAATCCATTGGTCGGTTAACACAAGTGGCATGGAGATCAGAGCATGTCACTGCATGAAAGTTTGTGGTTGGTTTTTCACTCTGCCAGTTTATAACTTTATACTTTCTAATAATCAAGTAATCAGTCAACCAACAAGCATTTATTACTGTATGCCAGGTGGTAAGGATGGAAGAAAAATAAAAAGCAATCCCTGCCCTCAAGCAGCTTACATTCTAATGGAGGAAATACAATATTTAATCAGAACATACAAGATTAATACAGAGAAGATCTAAGGTAATCTTAGACAGGAACACTTAATCTCCATGCGCTGTATACTCTTCCCCTCTGTGAAACAGACACATCTATACTATTAACTTCCTAGCTGTTATGGGGAGCATGGACCTAGAGCTGGAAGGCAGCTAAGAAGCCATCTAGTCCAGTCCTCTCTTTTTTACAGAGGAGGAAATTGAGGGCCAGGGACAAGTCACATATAGAAGTAATCCACAGAGTGGTCATTTGAACTGAGGTCCTCTATCTCTAAATTCTTTCCACTGTACCCTGAAATATTTTGTACTCTTAATTCAGTTCATCAAATATTTATTAGTCAATCAATCAATAAGCAATTATTAAGTGCCTACTATGTGCCAGGCACTGGGGTATAAGACTTCCTGTCTTCAAGAAATTTACCTTCTACTTGGGCTCTATAGATATTTTCTCTATTTTTATTTGTGGATATGGATACAGAAACTAAATTCTGAATAAATAGGAAGGTTTATACCTACAGTTTAGAGAATCTAGGCCTGAGTTACTCTTTGTGGTAGGAGAACTAAATAAAGTAAATCTTTTAATGCAGTGTTACGTACATACATGGCGAGCCAACGATAATACCCCTTTGATAGTTGTTTGATATCATGAGGGGATGCTAAGTGTTAGAAGCATATGGGAATGGAAGGATCAGTACTGACACACCCAGAAGATGGATGTCATCATCTCTACATTGAGATTGTGAACCCCTCAAAGGGGCAGTGGTATTATTACTTAGACAACAATTCCTTCCTTCCACATCCAGTTGGATTTTCATAACCTTGGAATATGCTGCCTTGAGTCTTTAAACTGTGACTAAAAAGGAATAATTCTGGAATGCTTTGTTTCATTACAGGATGAGTTCGACAAACTCAGGCCTCTGTGCTATACCAACACGGACATCTTTTTGCTTTGCTTCAGCGTTGTAAGCCCTTCATCCTTTCAGAATGTGAGTGAAAAATGGGTCCCAGAGATTCGCTGTCATTGCCCCAAAGCCCCCATCATATTAGTTGGCACACAGTCAGACCTCCGAGAAGATGTCAAAGTCCTCATTGAACTGGACAAATGCAAGGAGAAGCCAGTGGCGGAGGAGGCCGCTAAGCTGTGTGCAGAGGAGATCAAAGCTGCTTCTTATATTGAGTGCTCTGCCTTGACTCAGAAAAACCTCAAAGAGGTCTTTGATGCAGCCATTGTGGCTGGCATTCAGCACTCGGACACGCAACAGCAACCAAAGAAATCCAAGAATAGGACTCCAGACAAAATGAAAAATATTTCCAAATCTTGGTGGAAGAAATATTGCTGTTTGGTATAATGCTGCTGGCCAGAGACCCAGAAAAGGCTATTTTTAGAGGAAGTACAAATTAGAAGCTATATTAGCTTAAATGACTTTTCCTTTCACTGTATAGAAAATATGTATATGTATGTATATAATGTGTGTGTATATATATGTGTATATAAATACACATATATAAATACATTTCACTGTGGGGAGAGCCCAATTTATGTTCTTTATTCTTTTCTTTCCCTTCAATTTCTTGTGCAAGTGAATGGGACAGACATACTTTTATGCAAATGATTTTTAAGTAGATTAAGAATTTTCCAGCAGTCGAATCATTTAAAGCTATATTACACCTCATGAGAAGACACTCCACACCTAGGTAAAGATTGTGGAGTTTTTGTTGTATTTTAATATATAGAAGGACAAAGGAGCATGGTAAATTATGGGAGGAAGAAGAAAACTTGACTTAAGGCTAAACAGTGGACTGTGAACAAAGGGTCATCTCTGGGCATTTGTATCTCTCTGAAACATGGTGCCTGCTAAAGAACAACGTTTTTAGCCTTAGAACTCCATGCAAATTGCACTTTCATTAAAAAAAAATCTGAGGAAACTTGCAAAGGTTTGTGTGTGTACAACCTTAAAACAATTGGTCAATTCAGTTATGTCAGTCAAGGATAAGTGCCTGGCTAATTCAGTGGGGAAAAAAAATCTATCCAAGTGGTTATTTGGCATTGTGTAGCCCCCTCCCAAAGCCATGATTAAAAAAAAATCTATCTTTCTATCTATAGATAGATATATTTTTTAACATATATATATTTAAATCAGTTGTGGGCATTGGGCTGACGTGGGTCAAATGACATGCTGGTGTTGAGTGAGTCTGTTGGAATGTCTCCACCATTTGGTTTTAGGGAATAACCATATTAATGGGAGCAAAATGTGGCCATTGAACTTCCTGACTCCTGGCCCAAAGGTCTCCTCTTTTAGGTTCTGTAATATGTGCCCCAAACTGCTTCCTTCCCACTTTGTTTTAACTCCCAGGCTTTTCTGTGTGTCTTGAGAGCTTGCATGGCTAATTTGTACCATCTGTAAGGCATGAGAATGCTCTTTTGAAAGGAGGTAGCAAATGTTTGTGTGACACAATGTATCTTTTTTTAAAGTCTGCCAATATGTGCTCCTCAATGTTTCCCCTTTACATAATGGCTGTTCATGCTGCTGATTCAACTTTTAAAAAAATGAATGAGAATGGAGGATATGCCACAATTACTGGATTTTCAAGGAAAGGCCTGGCTTTTTCCTCATTAGAAAGCTTTTTATAAAGAGAGATCGTTTTTTGATTCCAGCCCAGGTGTGCCGTTAGAGGGCTTTTAATTTAATCGTCTGCTGAGACTGCTTTAAAAAATACCAGCTACCCTAAAAACCCGTGAAAGCATTCAGTTAAATGCAACAGATGACTTTTTCCCAAAGAACTGGCAGCAGAATAGTGCCATGTGTCTTAAAGATCATGAGAATGCTGCTGCCTAGTAATGGGAAGCTAGTGTTTTAATTGGCTGCAGCTGAGCTCTGTGGATCAGGAGACCTGTGTTCACAGCTCCTTAGCTTCCCTACTTGCCTCGGGACTTTGAGAATGTCACTTATTTGTGAGTCATGCAGATTTTCAAGTAGGTGATATTTATAAGGCATTGTTTCTCTTGCAAAATGCCACATCAGCTTTTAACACACTGTCTGACAGAGAGGTGGGGTACAGCAGGGTTTTTTTTTTCTCTTTTTTTCTTTTTAGTCTCTGATCTCAAGCTTACCCGGGTTAAATCAGCTTTTCCATATTCACGGCTGTATCTAACCTGAAAGGGAATCTTTGTGTAGCTGTGGGGTAGAAGAGTCCTAACTCCTTTTGCCTTTATGTATTTAATAGGTTCCAACCCATTTTCTCTAGAGGAAGTCCAATACCAGTCTATAATTTTTTCTTGCTCCTGCTAGTAGCTATCAAAAAACCTCTTTCAAATATATATGGAACAAAAGATTAACCTTAAATACCCATAGGCTCTTATTATTATTTATCGTTTGTTATGAAATGGTTGCCATAGTTTTTGGAAATGTTTAGTTACAACCTGAATTGATTAAAAAAAGTTGCTTAACTTCTTGTGATTCTTAAAACAAACTCTGTTGAATGAATGAATTCTAGACAATTCCCAAGCCTAATTTAAAGGATTCTATGTAAAACATTTAGTCTTTAAAAAAAAAAGGGGGGGGGGAATCAGGCCCACACACCTTCCAGTTCTGAAAGCTTCACTTAAAATGCTTTTATTTTTTATCGGGTGCTTGATTCTACACCATTGAAGTTAGAAATTGAGCCAAGAACAGAGCCCAGTACTAGCAGTACTTGGGCTAACCCTGATGCTTAAAGTTTGGTAGGCTGTTTTTATGAGTGCAGGAATTTTGATATTTTACAATGTTTTATGGAGTAGGAAAGATGGGGTTGGGCCAGAGGTTTCCCTTCATATTTATTTCTCTGTTAAATTAGGCAGGGTGGGGAAACTTCGAAAACTTTGTGTGTGTGTGTGTGTGTGTGTGTGTGTGTGTGTGTGGATAGGAAGTCAACTCATTTCAAAGCCCAGAAAACTTGTTAAATGTAAATTTGTAGCTTGGTATCGCAAAGATGATTTCTTATCAGCACCCTATTTTATAGTGTGCTAGTCTGATGTAAATCTTAAACTCTAGGGCAATATTACTATTTCAGAAAATGTGATATACCTGAGCCTGTTTTGTTATCTTTTTTTACTATGTGTATATGAACTAAGTTCTTGCAACTTTATGGACACTATGCTTTCTGTTCTTAGATATATTTGGAAAAATCACAGGTATTTTACAAAGCCAAAATGAGGAAAAAGTCCTCTACATTGCCTCTTCTCAATATTGTGCCTTACCAAGTTGAGTTTTCCTGTTTTTAAGTGTAGATGATACTGAGCAGAATGTTTCACTTGAAAATGTGGTGAGTTGGGTGGTGTGAAATAAATTTCAACCTGTATGTATTTGCATCTGCCTATCTTATGGAAGATTTTCTTTTGGAAATAAATAAGGTCCAACCACCTCTTTAAAAACACTGTACCTGATAAGCTCTTTGAGATGTTGGGTTGGGAAGCAATATACAATCAATCATTCAATAAACATTTATTAGATGCCTACTATATGCCAGGCATTATGCTAAGTTCTGGGATACTAAAAAAGAGTCAAAAGACAGCCCCTGCCCTCAAGGGGCTTATGATCTAACGGGAGAAACAACATGAAAACAAATATATTCAAAGGAAGCTTTATATAGGATAAATAGGAAATAATTAACAGAAAGAAGGCCCTGGAATTATGAGGGATTGTAGAAGGCGTCCTGTAGGAGGTGACGTTTTAATTGGGACTTGAAGGAAGCCAAGATGGTCAGTAGCCTGAGGTGGGGGGGGGTTGAGAGACGAAGAAGCATTTTAGGCATGAGAGACAGCCAGAGAGAATGCCTCCCTAAGTTGTGTGAAAAGTTTTTTTGTTGGAATTGAAGAGGAACCATTAGGAATGATTAGAATGGGGATACAGGAAGTTGTCCCTACACAATGAGGTACAGGTCAGTTTACCTGAGAAGTACCTTGTATTATCCAGTAATAATAAAATTAATCTCTGGTAAACAATCTGTATTAGTGACTATTGCTACTGAGTCCTATGAGATTTCAGGTTTATTTAAAATGAAATATTAGAAGATAAGGTTTCTGCCTTGGGTAATAATAGATAGTCTTTAAATGGCAGGTATGAATGAAAAAAGCATATCATGTGCAGTGCAGTATTGAGGAACTTTTCCTCATTGTGAATTGTATAAAGATAAACCATCAACTCTTCCCAGCTGAAGGGGAGCTCTCAATGTTTGTTTGCCCATTGTTTCAGTGTCTTTCTATTATACCACAGACTCCATGGCTTACTCAATGTCATAACTCTTAAAAGCAAGAAATACTAAAGCATTCAGATTATCTACCCCTTTATGAATTTCATTTTTTTTCAGTTCCCAAATTCTCTCTCTCCACCATCTACTCATTGAGAAGACAAGAAATGTGATACTATGGATTTAAAACTGAAATAACAAACACCTTATTTGGTCATAAAGATTGTCTCCCAAACGATCCAGTTCTGCTGGTATGGATTCTCTAGCATTTTTGACATCTACTCCTAGATGGCTACTAGTGCTTTAGGAAAACCTATGTACACTTGCTGTCACTGGAAGATTTTAATTTGTAAAGCCAGCCCTATGAGCACTGATTACTTCTTCCTAGTCATTGCTACAGTTTGGATCATTGAAAGATGGTGCCTAGGGTTATGACTTTCAGTAGGCAAGAATAACTCATAAGGTTTTGATTAGCACTGGTTCAAGTAAATGCAACATTCTTTTAAGGTGAAAATATAACTAATTTAGTTCAATTTAAAAGGAGTGCCTAATGTGTGCACAATTTAAGATTTCTGGTAGCTAAGTAAATAAAGATCATTACAGCCTTGATAATTACAGTTTCATGATTTGATCCACATTTATAGTTACTGTTAATCAAAAGTGCTGCACAATTATTGTAAACTCTATAAACCTCTTAAATACACATAGCCGCTTGTTATTATTATTTATCTTTTGTTATGATGTTAGGGATTAGATGTTTCAAAACATGGTGAATCTTTCATGAAAGAACCAGGGCAGTGTCATAGTTAGGAAGTCTAGGACTTGGAATAAGGAAGGCCTGGGTTCAAATCCTGCCTCAAACACTTAGTAAATGTGTGACCCTGGGCAATTCCTCCAGACCTCTCTGAGTTAGTTTCTTTATCTATCAAATGGGAGAATTGGATTCAGTGACCTCTAAATGTCCCTTTCAGCTGTAAATCTATGGTCCTATATCTGGCTCAGAACAAAATGAAAAATCCATACAATCAGATCATTTCTCCATCTAAACTTCATCTCTAAATAATTAATACATGCAATAATATGCATGATTTATGAAGATCAGTACTCTAATCTAAAGAGACAACATTACCTTTCTCTCAGTCTTTGAGTGGACAAATTGCATGGCACCCATAATGTCTACAGCTTGACTGATCATATTAACTGACTCCTTATTACCAGGACAGTTTCATTCCCTGCATGCTCATCTTCTTCATGCTCAAAAGTAGTTATCCAGGTCCTTTCTATTAGTCATTTCCAACTCTTTTTACACAGAAAATTCTCATTTCTTTCTCCGTGTTGTATGGCAACCACCCCCTTACCATGTTCTCCTTTGTAGCTAGTGAAAAATCAGCTCTCAACAAACAAAAGGGTACAAGATGACTCCATATCTCTTATTTGTATCAAATCCCATGCTGATCAATTCTTTAAATAGGAAAAGGTGTGGTATGGTGAAAAAAAATCTGGATTCAAATCCTGTCTCTGATGCTCACTATTTACGTGACCTTGGACACTTAAACTTCCTGATCTTCAGTTCCCTTGTCTGTTAAATGATTGGGTTGGACTAGGTAGCTTCTGAGGACCCTTCAGACTCTAAATGTATGAGCTGATAATTTCTTGTTTTATTAGAAATTAGTTTCCTGGGGCAGCTAGGTGGCGCGGTGGATAGAATTCTGGTCTTGGAATCAGGAGGACCTGAGTTCAAATCTGCCCTCAGACACTTGACACTAGCTGTGTGACACTGGGCAAGTCACTTAACCCCATTTGCCTCAACAAAAGGCACAAAAAAAAATTCGTTTCTATATCATTCTATTTCCCATCCCTCCTTGTCAATACAAAATTTAATAATAGTAATAATTGTGATGGATGACATAGAGCTCTCCAAGGTTTGCACAGTATTATAACACATCATCTCAGTTGATTGTAACAGCTAAAAAAAAATCTTAAAGGCCATTATGTCCAACCTCCTCATTTTATAGATGAGGAAACTGAGGTCCAGAGAGGTCAAATGACTTGTAGGTCACAAGTGGCAGAGCCTGGTTATGAACCTAGATTCTCTGGCTCCAAAGTCAATACTCCTTCCACTGTACCATGTTGCCTCTACCTTGCAAGGTAGATTGTCAAAGTAAGATCCTCATATCAGAGGTGAAAACACTGAGGCTCGGAGGGGAAAGGCACTAGACAAAATAACATGGCCGATAAGTCACATAGCAACTAAACCTTTCAACTTAAAGGCCCTATATGCCACCTCTTTGCTTCATTTCACACTTTGGGAGCTTGTATCTCAAAGATGGTGATTTACTTAAGTTCAGAGCCATTTGGATCAAGAACTCATTGGCCTTCTTGAATTCCATTTCTTCCATTTCTTCTAATGGTGAGAAGACAGGAATTACCAAGGTACACAGTTTGTATTCTAGCTAGTGTCTTTGATGGTCGGTAATTTCCCCATCAGATCAGAGGTTCTTAACCCTTTAATGTGTCATGGACTCCTTTGACAGTCTGGTGAAGCCTATGTACTCCTCAAAATAATATTTTTAAATAATTGGTAGAAATGCCAAATTTCAATTAGAGGTTAGTGAAAATAGAGGGTGGAGGCAAGATGGCAGAGACAAGCCAGGAAGTAACCTGAGGTCTCTTCAGTTTCCCTTGAAAATAACATTAAGTCAAGCCTCTAAATGGATTCTGGAGTTACAGAATCTACAGAAAAACAGAGTGAAACAATTTTCCAGCTTGAGATAACTTAGAAGGCCTTCAGGAAAGGTCTGTCTTACTTGGGCCAAAGGGGAACACAGTCTAGTGCAGATGGTGTCTGGGCAAGTCCGCTGGAGGCTCTTAGCCACAGCACAGATCTGCAATCAAGGCCCCTTGGTCCTGGCTCAGCAGGCTAGTGGCATAGCAGGCCAGCAGTGAGGCCTCCAGTTACAGCACAGAAGGCAAACTGCCAGCCCAGGAACCACCAGCACAACAGACTGTGTTGTACGGGTAGGCTGGGTCATCTCAGCAAGTCACCAGCACCCAAGGCCCTGGTGCAGAAAGCCAGTGACCAGGTCCCTGGTCCCCACCACAAGAAGCTTGGGACAGTACTCCTTGTGCCCCAGAAGCAGAACTCAACTTTAAAAGTAACAGAATAGGCTAAAAACGAGTAAAAAATAGACAAGAACCCTGACCATAGAAAGCTACTATAGTGACAGGAAAGATCAAAACACAAACTCAGAAGAGGACAACAATGTCCACAAGATTTTGAGTTCCAAATTTTCTCTCCATACACCAAAATGGCATGCATTCTGAATACCCCTAATCTGCCTTCTCTTCTATCTCTCCCCCCACTCTTTTTATCCCCTTCCCTTTCAATTTTCCTGTAGGGCAGGATAGATTTCTACACCCCATTTCCTATATATCTTATTTCCAATTGCATGTATTAAAATTATTTTTATCTTTTTTTTTTAATTTTGGTTCCAAATTTTTCTCCCTTCCTCCCTCCCCACCCACCCTCATTGAGAAGGCAAGCAACTTGATATAGGTTATACATGTGTAGTCATGCAAAACACTTCCATAGTAGTCATGTTGTGAAAAACTAAGTATATTTCCCTACATCCTATCCCGCCCCTCCATTTATTCTATTCTCTCTTTTGACCCTGTCCCTCTCTAGAAGTGTTTGCTTCTAATTATCCCCTCCCCCAATCTGCCCTCCCCTCTATCATCTCCCTGCTC